CCAAATACTATATTCGAATGAATGGGGCCAACCGGGAAGTGAATCGGGCAGACTCCAATACTAAGCTCCCTGTTCATTTTGTGATGGCCTGGACTGCTACACAAAGTCCACGAAGCTTCAGTGTCGGATTCTTGCAAGCTATTATGGTAGAGCAACAGTGGCGGTCGAAAGTCCTCGGAAAAACGCTTTTCTAATCGCACTTTCCTATAAAGGGACTTGAGCAAAACTTCGAAAAGTCGAACCTAACCTTAAACCAAACTACATTACACTTTTTCACTTCGAAACTAGGAAATCACATGACTCCACCAACGCCACCTGTTCCCTGCTCGAACGCTGAAGTTCGTTTCTACTGGGAGATCAGCTTTACTACATCTGATTGACGAGTATCCTTTTTCGCTCCCTCTGCAATCGCATGGTTCGCAAACTTTGTTGGCTGTCCCCACTTCCTTCAGCATACTATGCCGCCGCCTTACTTTTGACGAGGTTCCTGTTCACTTCCTTCCTTCTTTTCTTCGATGTGCAGGTTGTATTTTTGAAAAACAAAGCAGTTTACAAGTGGTAGGCAAGGAGCGGGGTATAGGCGACAATGATAAAGAGAGCTACATAAATGACAGTGACACGATCATCAAGTTCGTAAATGGTAGGCCGACAAGTGAAGTTGTCCTACCGACAGCCTACCGAAGTCGGCCTACCGACAACTTCACTTGTCGGCCTACCGTTTATCGAGGTATTGGAACATCTAACAAGGGAAGGATATGTGGTCGCAGTGGCTACTCAAGATGGGATGTATACCTCCGTAGATGGTTTCGAACGCTGATCTCAAATGTGTTTTCCATATCTGCTAAACGATTCTGGAATAAAGTTACGGGACCGATGCTTCCCTGTGTTATACCACTAAACCAAACGGATCACCGAACCGAACAAAGTCGTACCTGTGCAATGGTAGCGCAACTGATAAGCGGTGAACCGATAGAAATGACATCAAAGTTCGATTCCCATGCGCTTGTCTTGCTTTTCCATGGACTGTCAATGTTACTCGGATTCGGAAGGTGATCAATAAGAGGATTTCACGCAATGATGAGGTCAGCGTGAACAAAGTTGCTTCGGATTTGCATATATCACGAAGAAGTGTTTAAAACATAGCGGAATGTGAACTAGATTTAGACAGTTACCGCTTCTTCCGAGGCCAGAAGTCCAGCGAAGCAGTAAAGAAGAAAAGACTGGAAAAATGTCAGAAGTTCCTAGCAGCAGTTCGTGCGGGCCGCCTCTCGGACATCGTCTGGACAAACGAGAAAATCTTTACGGTCGAGGTCGCGCACAACAGCCAAAACCAGCGGCAATTGCTACCTAATAATTGCTCGGGCAGAGAAAAACTCCAGAAAACGACGAGTAAAAACCAGGAGCCGGTTCTCGAAGGAGGTGATGGTATGGGCGGAATAACATCAGAAGGCAAAATACCTCTCGTTTTTGTTGATTAAAACATCAAATTCAACTCGGAAACTTACCAGATGGGGCCAAAATCACTTTGGAGAACGGAACTTTATCTTGCAAAAGGACTGAGCACCAGCACATCTGTGAAAATCCGCGATTCCCTTCTGCCGACATCATTTTCCTGAATTCTGGGACAAAGACATGTGGCCATCTAACTCCCCAGACCTCAGTCCAGTGGACTACTCCGTTTGGAGCTATCTGCAGCATGAAGTGTCTTCTTCACCTTCACCCCATCGCAGGTTGGATAGTCTAAAAGCAGCTCCTCAGAGGGAATGGCAGAAAATTAATGTCGAGTTCTTGCGGCCCACCATGGGAGGCTCTACGAAGAGATTGGAAGCTTGTATTCTGGCCAAGGCGGTCATTTCGAAAATACCTCGAATAAACGTTCCTTCACCTCAGTCATACCATTTAATGAAATTTCTCGAAGAAATGTGTCCTATTTTTTTTACATGCGAATACCGGGCCACACTTTGTAGCCACCCTATACAAGCAAAGTCTTTTCCTGCTCCTAATCGGCCGAATAAGTGGGAAGCTTCATTCGAGCAAAAGAGGAATTCTAAACATTTGCTCATAATGGGCTCGAGAGGCTTCAAGGAGAAAAATTCCTAGTGATTCATCGGGTCAAACACCCTTCAACGTGCTACCAGCAAATATTCTGACCGAATGTGGTGTCATCATATTTGATGGAAGACTTTCGCTCTTGCAGCATAACGTGGTCAAAATCTAGGAAGAGGAGGTAATGAAGAGCTTTCGAGCAGTACTTCTCGGTGCTATGAAAATAAGTCCGTTATCTTTCGCGAGGAATTCGAGAAAAGCGAACACAGTGATCCCCTTCGGTCGCCTGGTAAGGACAGCGACGAGGACCCGTAGCGCTTCTGAAGCGAAACGTATCCTTCAAATTTGTGATCTGGCCAATGAGCTCTAATTTTGTGGCTGGTAGAAGAGTCCATAGCCTTATGTGGTTCAAGTGTCAAAAGGATGCCGTACCTCCTCGAAGATGAGAAACACGTTGTTTCATAACGACAGAGTGCCGTATACGGAAATGAAGAGGGCATGAGCTCTCGAATTAATCTATTATTGACACTTTAAGATTGCTTATGTGGTCGCACACATCAGTAGCAAATTAAGCAGAACTGCCTACCCATGGAGATTAGCGGATAAGTTGGAAGGATAAGTTATCACAAAATTAATATAGGAGTCCCATTGCACGACAGTCATTTCCACTGGATACCGCTTCAAATTAACAATGAAGGCCCATAGGAGGGAAATTCAAAGCAATTCATAGGTGGATTCAGGGTTTTGAGGAGAGCCGTGGTATCATATCCCACCGCATCACCAGTTTACCTCATGAAAGAGCTCTTTTAAAGGACGTTTACCTCAAGAAGGAGCGGATAATCATATGTGCAAACATAGCGATAAACTATTGTTCTACAGTGTTCCTTCAACATTGCCAGTTAATTTGTATCACTACTTTGGAAGTGCGGACAGTATTCCTAGAATGTGTGGACCGTATCTCTTCCAAAGAGGACTGTGGTCGGAGGAGTCATCTGACTGCAGGGAGCTGCCGAAAATTCCAAAACACCTTCTTGACCGTTCGGGGTAGAGAGAGCGCACACGTATGTTCATACGTGTAAGGGTTCAGCAAAAAAAGCAAAACGAGCAGATGCATCAAGGGATCGAACCTTGATGCCATGCCTGCCGATCCACCGTCCTACCAGCTGCGCCACCGTTACACAGTTTCGGCTTTGCTCAGCTCGGTGTTCCGATCGGTGCTGTGGTATGATACAGGGAGGCATCGGTTCCGTAACTTTGTACCCAGAATCGTTTAGCAGTTTTGGAACACAGATTTGAGATCAGCGTTCGAAACCACCTACGGGGGTACACATCTCATCTTGAATGGCCACTGCGACCAAGTCCTTCCCTCGTAAGGTGGAGTGGACGATAAGGAAGAGTAGACGAGGAAGATATGGTAGTGAGCGATCCCAGTTTGCAATATGCACAGGAAAAACATTTCTCGATTCGACACCCATACCTGTGGCCAGAGGTGAGCAGCGCACAAGAGATTTCATACTTCAACTTTTTGTGGCATACACAGAATTGACCAGTTTCAGAATCGTGAATATTGCTGTTGCTGCTTTGCTTGCTTATCACCCAGCCGCTTCCATTTTTTCGGTGCCTTTGCGTTGTATTGCAGGCAGCAATGAACCAACTGTTCACCTGTCCCTCAAACATGTATTGGGAAACGATATCAAAATCTTTTTTGAAACCTTATCAATTGCAGGAATGCATTATGACGCGCCTGTTTTTGCATCTCCAGCAAAAGCAGATAGCGATGTCACTAGTTCACATTACCCCTTCTCACCTACCGATTAACGTTTTTCCTCTGTCAGTTTTTTGTTACAAGGTGTAGTACTGAGCAGAAACAGAAATGCAGTCACCAAATAACAAGGATAAAAAATAAGGCATAACTATGAAATTGATGATTATTAGTTCTGTTTTGTTTTTCAAATGTCCCTTTACAGTCTTGCATCTTTCGTAAATGCACCAATTTGTAAAAAGCGTTATTACTTGTTCATGAGGTACACCACTGGCAAGTGAAAAATGAGGTTTCGCTTTTCAAAACGATCAGATGATTATTTCAATCTCTGACGAGCTTGTCAGCTAAAAACGTTTTGGATTCTGGTTGCAATTCCCAAAAAAGAATCAATAAACCTCAACAGAGAAATATGAAAAGTTAATTGTTCATAGTAAAAACCCTGGAATCAGTGGGACGCCAGTAATTTTTCGAACAATGGTAAAGCAGCGACGGCCTTCTTCGTAGACATACAGTACCCATAATCCTCTTCTGTAATTGATAACAGCTCAAAAACCAGATTTCGATAGTCATCACAAAGAACATAAACATTAATTGGAGGAAAGGCTAATACCTATTTATCGATGTCAGCTAGCAAAAGAAGATTAAGACAGTAAAATACTTGGGATAAGCATTTGCTTGTTTATGTTCTCTGATTACTAGTAGCTCGACCTAATCACGCTGTAGATGTTGTAATTATGTGAATTCACTATTATCGATCTGATCGAAAGGTTTCGGAAATTAGACGCCATTTTTAGTAAGGCGATGTAGTTATTCACCGGACCTGCGCGATCAGCGCTTGTAAGTAGGAGCTACTGTGCAAGGCAACAACGATACCAACGGGAAGTCTGGCGAGTTAACGCTTTGAAGGATTTACATACAAACCACCGACATATGTAAATGTGTTGAACCGTAACCTCATATAATTAGGGGGTCCGTAGTGACAAATCAAAAAGTATTCGAACTTTTCATTAGAACGTAGAGCTTTGGTTGCATTTTGTGACTTTGCAATTCCCTGACAGAGAAAATGAAGTATGTGTCTCAAATGTAGTCTGTTGAAAAAAAACGACCTTATCTTATCAGTCGAGTTTTCCGAGATATTTATAAAAAAATCTCACATATTTATAAGGCCGACTCACCTGACATGATTGAACAGGAAAGTCGTGAAATTGCTTAACACGGCAGAAATGATGTTACGGCTCGTCCTATTCGCGCTCTACTTGACTGGTGAGTTCGACCTAAATCATTGCGATAGAATTCATTTTTTCCCGTTAATCAAACCTTTTCTAGGGAATAAAAAGTAATTTCGAAGCGAATGTTAACAGAGAATCTCAAGACATCAAAACTAGCTCACTGAATATGTTAAGTAAGAAATTTGAATGACCCCAGAAAATTATTTGAACCAAACCTGCTTTCAAAAATTTTCAAACCACTACAGCCTCGAAGATGCATACAACAGCGAATTGGGTGAAAAGCTCCAGGATCAAAACTCGAAGTCACCATTATATCACTAAAGGGTTTTTTTTATTTCAAGAAAGCAGGAGCGTAAGTCATGAGGCATCTAAATGTGACCCTTTGATTCGACAAACGACTGGCCGAATTCGCAATTTTCCTGCTTGAAAAATCCACGTTACAACACTTACAGCAGCGATTTTGAACTTACTAATCGGTCAGACCTTCAGTAAGTTTTAACTTTTCTTGGAGTGTTAGCCCGTTTGCAGATACATAGAGGTGACGGAAATTCGGTAGGGGCTCAGTAATTTTCGCAATTTCGTTGCTGTATGAAAAGGGACAAGAGAGGGATTGGCAACTACCGCCCAATCTGCCTGCTGTCTGCAAACCACAAACTTTTCACACGCGCCGTCTTCAGGGATCAGGATTGGGTGCGCCATCCTCCACAGGATCGGCGAAATATCAGATGAACGACAGATATACGAGCAACCAGAAAACGGGGTTTCGGAGAGTGTTTCGTACAGCCTATCATATCCACACTGACACAAGACTCAAAGAAGACTCGCGAGAATACAGGACGTCGTTATATCTGACGCTCATCAATTTTAAGGTTTCTGATAATGTTGAGAAGAGGCGGTAATCGAAGCCCTGGGCAACCAGGGTGTCCCCATCCCATATATAAGATACTTCGTGAACTCTACGACTTCACGACCAGGATTTCGCCAGATACCTCTGAACTCTACGACGACTTCACGACCAGGACTTCGCCATTCTAAAAGGATGTCATTGTCAACATGAAGAGAGGAGTTGGACAGGACGATACCATCTCGCCCAAAACTTTCAGTGCCGCTCACGAGAACAACTGGCGTCATTTGAGATGGGAAGATTGGAAGTGGAGGTCAACGGCTGTCACTTACACCACCTCCGCCAACGTGGTGCTTATAGCACCAAACATCGAGCGGGCCGAACGAACACTGGCCCAGTTTGACAACACTTGTGGAAAGATGGGCTTAAAAATGAACTTAACGAAGACGATGCTCATGAGCTCAGCGGATTGTGCCCTGACGCTCCTTTTGAGTTAAATGGTAGGGACATCTCTTAATGCTCCAGTTACGCATATCCGGTCGAGAAGTCAACATAATAAACAATCTAGCTCAGAAGCTGATTGAAAGAAACGCACAAACAAAGCCCAGAACATTTGGCTCTTACTCGATTTTGCGGTCTTTTCTGCTTTCACACACACAGCAAAGAAAAGTACTCTATGGAGGCAGGATGGGTATGCAGTCGGCGTCATTCAACGCGCTGTGGAAAGGACGACGCGTGGAATTCCCTGACACACACAAGTGCAGAGCAGAATCCGGAGTTTCGAACCTCAACAACAACGCAAGAAAAACAGAGATGCCGATGCTTACAACAATTAATCGAACATCAGGTGGGCCACACATGTCATGCGATGTTGCGATGACTGTTGGATTAGGGCAATGACTGACTGGATAGGACGTCGAACGAGCACCACAACGGCCGCCAGCGCGATAGTCAAACTTCTGCATGAAAGCTCTGGACGAGTGGAAAGCTATATTTCGCGTCCCTGTAGCGGGAACGATTGACTGGACTAATCTGCCTAGCGGCGCGGACGAGTGAAGCTTCCCTGCCGCTAATCAAAGTAGTCCAGTAAACTGACGCCCGCTTGAGAAAATCGATGATTAACGGGATAACATGTGATAGGTTATCCCTCTTCAGGCAAGGTGGTGCAGAGGCAAGTGGCTTACTATTTCATACGCGTGGTAGTGGTTCGAATCCAAGATCTTACGCCTATCCGCACCCCCATGCTTTTTAAATATTTTAATTGGTACCAGAGTTGTCTGGGCGGTCAAAACTACTGAATTGTACATCGGCTGGCCACGACAAGTCATTGTATCCACCGCATACGCTGTCACTATAATTCTGAACTGAATGCAGAGCACATCCCGAAAACGGAATTGATTAATGGCTAAGTTTTTATCTTTTGTCAAAATTCTCCTTCAACCAAAAGCCATACAACCCTGGTGAAACAGTCAGACAAAAATATGTTATCAAACCTACTCCAATTTCACGGCACGGATACAGCATAAGTAAAACCCGTCATCCTTTCTTGTTATTGTATAGTGTCTCGGGTCGTCCGCATTAGGATCGGAGCCATTCATTACTCTACCATTTGGGCTGTGCACGCTAATGCGTGCATTGTATGTGCACGACCGCTCATCTACGATGGGGCCATTTAGCGGAATATTTACCGTATCACAATGAGGTAGTTTCCTCTAGATTGGAAGGCACCCCGCTCGATTTATTTCATCAGAGCAAAATTATTCGTGGTTGTTCATAGCTCCGTCCACCTATGTATGTACAGATTCCTTCAACTGGGAAAATTTCACCACCCTTCTTTTAGCTGCCCCTCACCAGTTTCTTCGCATTCTAGAACGTTTTTGAAGAGAGCTATGTATTTCAGGTCTTAGCTCAGCCCTTTCCTGTGCAAACTAAGCCTAAATCAGGGATTTGACAACATATCTCTATGACCTCTCACCACTTTTTTCCGCATACTGGACGTTTCTGAACAGAGTTATGAACTTTTTACCTTAGTCTGCCCACCGCCCACTCACTCACACACTCCACGTATTTGAGCTCATTTCTTCTACTAGGTCTAACCATTTTTCAAACGCATTCTAGAACGTTCCTGAATATCGATATGAATTTTTCATTTCATCTCCGCCCACCTTAGCGCAAACCCTGCTCCTTCGGAAATTGGACATCAAAGCACAAATGAACAAAGTCACGAATTTTTGGTCCAAGCTTCGCTTCTCTAGGGGTTCGAACACATTTGTTCTATTGTCTCTGAATACTTTTTTCTCGCATTCTAGAACTTTTCAGAACATAGTTATGAACTTTTGATCCCAGCTCCACCCATTCCATTGCATACTCCGCCTACTTCAGGAGCTCGACCATTCGTTCTATTACCTCAAACCACTTTTTCCCGCATTTCAAGACAGATGATACTGTACAGTTATGAATTTTTGATCCAAGCCCCGACTACTTAAGAAATTCGACCCGCATCTAACCGCTTTTATCCTAACCGGCTTCGCTGAATCGAGCTATGATCTTATGTAGAGATAACCGACTACTCGACAACGCTCCGCCTACCGTTGCTGAGTCTCCAGTTTATTTGATGGTCAATCTCTCACCTTTGCAGTTCTTCCCGGCGTCGAGACTGTTCTGTGAGCGAATTCGAAAGATTTGCTTCAGCGACCACCCCTTCCTGTTTATGTCTCAGCTTCAATCCCCTGTGGGAGGAGCTCCGCTGGGCTATCACATGCTCTGTTGGTCTTGCCCTATGCTCAACCCATTTCAAACTTGACCCGAACTCTCCAGACGCTTCTTCACGTAGTATCAAATTTCGTGAAAGACAGACAGACAAACGCGAGCGTTCTGTATCTATACTATATAATTTGAAAGGGGATAACGGAGGTGTAATGCAATTGGATCGAAACCGTCGCGTCGCAGCGAGAGGGACGCCGCGCGCGAAGGAATGCAGCAGAGTGCAGCAGCTAGTAAGAAATACAGGAACAAAAGAGATAACAGTATAATCATGTCTAAAATAAGGATCGCATAGCGATTGAGCTAGAACTGTAGTAACGGCGAAGTGAATGGTCCGCGATAGCCGCGTGCGGCCAGTCGGTTACACAAAACCAATTCTACTGCCCGTCTCCCGGATAAATGTTCTCCAGACTGACCATTGAGGAGGAGTTCTCAAAACGGTAAGAAACCCTTGCAAATCACAGAAAAAAGAAATATGTGGCATATTTTTCATTTTCGACAACACTCCGATAAGGATAAGAAGGCTTCTCTAAACTTCCATAGAAAAGCTCAAAACGTCGAATCACTTTTGTCACCCATGAGTAGTGGAAGCCTCGGGCCGTCATTCCGACATTGTCATTGCTCTTTCCGAACTCTGTGTTTAAGCTGTGACATATAAAGTACATCTCTGAAGCGTACAATGCAAATGCTCCAATGGGTTCGAGTTCAAGGAAACTGAAAATGATTCAGGAAAAGGACTTCTGATATATCATGACCACAGCTGAGTGATCCAAAAAGTTCTCCATTCTTTCCAGAAAGTAGTTCGCCTTGATGCCTACGGCTGGAGTGCTTGAAGACCACATACCTAACGCAAGTCACCTTTCTAAGAAGACATTTCCCTGAAGGAACAGAATGTTCTGCCGGATGTTGCCATGACTTCATATCAGAGTATTTGCAAGTGAGGATTGATGTATGTAAAAAAGTGGTGGTGAGGAGCGATCTTTTTTTAAAAAAAAACTAGAGAGTGTATATTTACTGTTTGCGCTGGGGGCTCTAGCCATAAGAGACGGAGCCACATAAGCTTCTGATTTTCATTATAGACCTTTATCATCTGAGCCATTCCCCGACGCTTCTGTAGCAGCCATCATTTTTCGTCTCATGGGAAGCATAGAATTTTTTTCTCTAGATCACGAAAATTCGGACTGACCGGCAAGCAGTTCAAGAAGGGTGTGTGATGTGTAATAGAGAAGTTTGTCTGGCTCGGCTGGAGTTTCAGCATGGTATACGTAACACTTGATTTTGAAACATGTAATTTATGAAAACAACACTTCTGTATACACAATAAATCGGTTCGCCCGGCTCACGCCGGGCTCCCCTCCTTCCCGTGTTAAAATGGCCTCCCCGCCTGCACCACCCATCAAATTTGAGCGTTCTAGATCCACGGGAACAGCAGCTATGAATTCTCACCACCCCGCCCACTGGCCCACTGTGGGCGGAGTCTGGTCCTGCCGCCCAGCATAAGTGTTCCCCTCGTGACGCCTGCACTGCTACCAAATTTGAACGCTCTGGGTCCAAACTTAAGTTATTCAGACAAACCCCGCCCCTTGTGGGCGGAGTCCGGTTCTGCCACACACCACAAGTGTTCTCGTCCTGTCGCCTACACTCCTACCAAGATTGAACTTTCTTGGTCCATGGGTACAGGAGTTATGGTTTTTCGCTTAAACCCAGCTCCACAGCGAATTTTCGTGTATAATGTAAGAAAGGATGTGAGCATCGAGGCACGCTCCGCCCATTGTGGGCGGGCCTCCGCTGACGTCATTCATGCTGGAGATACCTTCGACACGCTTCTCCCACATCAACCTTTCCTGCTCTGTTGGCTTCCTCCAAACCGAGTTATAAATGTTTTTATAAAGCATTGCATTTTTGGGGAACGCCCCCCCCCCTATCGGGAGTGCGACTCCCCAGTTCGATCTAACTTACCAATGCACACCTCTAACCACCTTTACACCCCAGTTTTGAAGCCGTCCTGTGACTAAATTTGAAATCAATGTCCCTCAGTACAGCTCATTTCGATGCACGCCACGCCCACTGTATGCGGGGCTCCGCCAAGCTGATGTGTGCTTTATACT